ATCCATCCATCCATCCATCCATCCATCCATCCATCCATCCATCCATCCATCCATCCATCCATCCATCCTCTTCCCTTATCCTTGGTTGGGTCACGGTTGTAGCAGCTTCAGTAAGGAGTCCCAGACATCCCTCTCCCCGGCCACTTGGTCCAGCTCCTCCAACGCGCTCCCAGGCCAGCGAAGAAACATAGTCCCTCCATTTAGGTATTTAGGTGGACGCAATAATGATTACAATTATAAAAAACATACTTTATATTCTTGTGCACTTTACATAATTATCTCAAAGTGCTAACAAACAAACTTAAAAATAAATATAATACATGGGAAACTCATATTTCTATGCTGATAAATCCCTAATCCGTCCCAGAAGAGCAGTCAGATTACAGCAGATTCTGCAAAACTGGATTTTCAGCCATCAACTCCTTTCAAGAAATGCTTGACCAAATATGTTGCAAACGTTGCTTCGTGTGGAGCCTGTTACAGGGGGGAAAAAATATCTCTCTGGCCACATGTTAGGAATGCAAACTGGTTGTTCTCTGGGGGTTGTTGATATTCAGTTTTAATAAATATGCCACAATATTTAAGTTCATTCGTAGTGGTTCCCATTTTGGTTTAATTGCATATAGAATTGTTTCCTCTCCTCCCCTCCTTTAATTTATGCCATGCCATGCAGGTGTATATTTCTTTTTTTATTTCTAACAGTCCAAACATATTAACCTGCAGATATGCTATCCCTCCATGGCCTGATAATCTACAAAATCCCTCCTTTGTGCCCACAATAACCAGTTTGCACCTTACTTTCAAACATACTTAATATACAATAGTGTTCGGTAATTACAATATATATTTACAAAAACACAAAGTGTGTTCACACCGTCTGCTTAACATAAATCGCCTATCAGCTTCTATGGAGATCTACTCTCTGAGTATACATAGTTTGCATGTGTTTTAAAGCCTCTGTTTATGACCTAATATAAGTAAAATAGTATTTGACTAAAAGTTAATCTTTCTGTCTTCATTTATCTCCTTTGTGCTCTTAAGCTAATCCCTGAGCTTAAGAGCTTCAGAATAACCAGGCAACATCCCCGGCCCAGATCAATACAGAGAGATCTGATGGATCTGACACACACCTATTTCATTCAAATTGCTGTAAAACTGAAGTTGTTTTGAATTTAAATGTTATTTTGAGTTTTAGATCTTTTGATCTTTTTTGTGCTTGTGAGTTTTGGAGTTTGCATGACACATGCTTTTGGGGCCCATTTCCGGCATGTTTACACCTGTTGGCCACTGTATAAATTCACACTGTCAGCCAAATTATAAGATTAATCAAAGAAGTTGACAGATGATGAAGAAAAAGAACTTGACATTTTACAAATACTAGCTCTGGAGCGGGGATATGAAGAAAAGGCAAAGCAAGCTTGTATAATGTCAAGATGGAAGTGGTTTGACCAAAGTGAAAAAAACTCCAAAAAAAAAAAAAAAACTCCATTAATTTGTAGAAAAGAAACTTTGAAATATTCTTGATAAGTAAACCTCAGATAAATGGCTCTATATGTGACAATTAAATGATTGATGAATGCATCGCCACTTTGATCATCAGCAAGAGTCCAAGGAGTGTATTGATGAAAATAAAATGTAATTAATTAGCCATGATTTTAGAGATGTTTGCAATTCCATTACTGACACCCTGACGTGACATCTATCGACTCATTAAACAGCTTTACAGAAGAATTTTATAAACAGCTTCCTTCTCTGTTCTTGGTTCAAGTGTTTGAATTACAAAAGGCCTTCTATTACGTACATTAAAATTAAAACAAGGGCAGCTCAAATTAATTCCCAAACCAAAAAAGGAAAAATGAAACACTGAGAACTGGAGGCTGGAGCACATCATTGACAAAGTACGGTCAGGATTCATTCAGTTCAAAAACACTTAAATAATCCCAAAGTGGAATAAAATGTTGCAGTAACTCATATATCATTTTTTAACCACATGTTGTAGGTTTTGATAACAGTAGACAGGAAGGATATTCTATAATGGTCTGTCTTGCACCCGATCTGCAGAAGCCTCTTAATGAAAAAACTTTTGTTTAAAACTCTTCTGAAGAGGATGCTCACCCTTGTCCATAATTTGTTCCACTTTATAACGAGTTCTTCTTCATGAAATAATCTCCACAGATTCTACAGGAGTTACTTGAACAGAGTCGGGCTTCTTAATTAGCTTGTTGAGCTTCTTTCTTACAGTACAGACTTACAGTAGCAGCTATTCAAAATGGCCCATCCCAGTCAAACGCCAGCCTACAACTCCCAGCGAAATCCCCGACAACTTCCAGCCAGTGACCCCCTCCTTCACCTGGGTGTGCATATTTTTTTACTCCACCCTTTCACTGAATTACAGGGTCTGACCAGGAGATGACGCTTCTCTTTAGACCTTAATCTTTACAAATCATGACAGAAAGAATATTTCAGTCCAAAGATTGATGTTTAAAAAGGAATTGCAAGGGATCAGCCCAGGGCCTATCAAGGAAAGCTGAGAAATTTTGAAAAGCTACTATTGTACCATGAATTGCTGCCAACGAATGTGTAGGTGAGATCTACAGCCTAAACCTGACCCTTACCCTAAACCTAACCATTGCGGGGTTCATACCTAACCCCAACCTAAACACAATTCACATCTTATTCCCAAATCTGAATCCTGAGACAAAAACAGTGGGGTCCAGGCCCCGTGTCCCTGAAGACGGGCCCCACAATGTATTACAAACAAGAGCACAAACACACAATCACGTACTCATAAAAATTCCCATATAGCCACTTTCCCACTAAAAATAGCGGGTTAACATTTGTTTTTCAAGCATGGGTCAACACGCAAACAATCAACATTTGGCCCCCTTCCCATTGGTGAAAAAATCTGGGTCTGACCCCTCGCTGGCAGCTGTGTGGGCTCTGTCTCCCTGCTGCTGCATGTCTGGTGACACTATCCTGCTGGGTAAGCCTTGATGATGTCACCAGTGCGACAGAAATCAGGAAAGTAAAAAATTGATATCAACATTTAAATAAGCCAGGGTGTAGTAAGTGTGATTTATCGTTTTTTTCTCTCAGAATCTCTCAGAGCCAAGGCAATTTTAATGTCGGTCACTTGCCGAATCGTTTGACACGGGTAGACACGCGTAAATGAGCGGTTCCCATTGCTAATAAAAGCAAATTGTTCCCTGTGCTCTGGTCCCCTCTGTTACAGCCCTAGGCTCTTGGGGGCCAGTCTGGGTCTGCTCACAACTGCTATTCAAAATGTGCTTGTGCTGAAAAAGCCTTTTAAACATGTAGTTTAAAAGTAGTTCAAGATAACGTTATGTTTAATATTAAGCTACAGCTACAATTCTGTATAGATCTGTAGAACATTATTTGATCTTCATCAATATTGCTTTTGATGTTTTTATACACAAATTTACTGTGTTCATTGGTTACTGCCTCTTCCATTGTGGTCGGTGTGTTTCTTTTCCAATAATTTCTTGCAGGTCTAAAGGCAGACTTCAAGGAATAATCCTGTATTTATGTTGTTTTTTTCTTTTCTTTCCTCTCTCTCCTGGATTCTTGTTCCTCCTCTTTCCATATCTGTCTATTGCATATGAATTTTCTCTAATGCCAATTCTAATTAAGTTTAATACAAAATGAAATGACCAAGTGAAACTTAATAGCAATAGAAATGAGCAAACCTGCTGGGTCATTATACAGAACAGAGAAATTTATTTTCAGTGCTTCGTTGGCAGACAGGACACAAACAAACCATCTAATGTTGATCTTTTTTTATTTTTACAATATTTTAATTCATAGATTTATAAGTTCATATAAAGTTGCATTACTTACATGTTTTAATACTTTCAAAATGTATATATGTGAAGTCATTTTTACTTTGTCCCAAAAGAGACATTTTTCTCAGGAAGAAAACATAAAAAGCTGGATTCAACATATGCTGGAAATAAACACACACACACACACACACACACCCACACACACACACAAAAACCAGGAGACAGCATAAAGACAGAAAAACTATTATAAAAACGATTCCGAGGATCTATTGACTGTGAAAAGTGTATGCATCATTTATTATTATTTTTAAGTTGATTAATTATTCTATCAAAAAATAACCAAAACTAATTTGAGCATATACAATCTTAGAAAAACTTACAGTACAATTTACTATTTTATTGTAAATCTGCAAGTTGAATGATTTCTTGTCATTTTTGTGGTTTCATTTTATGAGATATTAGACTTCCAAAGTTAGCAATGCTTTTTCCCCACATATTAGACATTCAAAGGTTTCTCATTAGAGTGGGTTTTCTTGTGAGAATTTAAATTTCTATCGATTATGAAACTTTTTCCACATGTCTAACATGAAAAAAGTCTCTCACCTGTGTGGGTTCTGATGTGATATTCCAAACTTCTAATATAAGAGTAACTTTTTCCGCACGTTCCACAAGTGAAAGGTTTCTCTCTAGTGTGGGATCTCAAGTGAACATATAAAGTACTCAACTGAGAGAACCATTTTCCACATGTCTTACATAAAAAAGGTCTCTCACCTGTGTGGATTCTCAAGTGACTATTTAAACTGCTCAACTGAGAGAAACTCTTTCCACATGCTTTGCAAGTATAAGGTTTCTCTCCTGTGTGGGTTCTTATGTGAACCTTTAAAACACTAACCGTGGAGAACCTTTTTCCACATGTCTCACAGGAAAAAGGTCTCTCATCTGTGTGGGTTGTGATGTGATATTTTAAATTTTTACTATAAGAGAAACCTTTTCCACATGTCTTGCAAACAAGAGGTTTCTCATTTGTGTGGGATCTCCGGTGAACGTTCAAGGAACCCACGGAAGAGAAGCTTTTTCCACATGTCTTACAAGTAAAAGGCTTCTCACCTGTGTGGGTTCTAATGTGTACATTTAAACTACTCATGCAATTGAAACTTCTTCCACATGTCTTACACATAAAAGGATTCTCCCCTGTGTGGGTTCTAATGTGAACATTTAAACGATTAACTCTCGCAAAACTTTTTCCACATGTCTTACAAGTAAAAGGTTTCTCACCTGTGTGAGTTCTGATATGATCACTTAAAGTAGATCTTTGAGCAAAACTTTTTCCACACGTCTTACAAGTAAAAGGTTTCTCGCCCGTATGGGTTTTATAATGTTTTTTCATGGTATACTTATTCTTCAAGACTCTCCCACATATTTCACATTTAAAAGTCCCTTTCTTTGTAGCAGTTTGATTATGAATATCTGACACAGCGGAGCTGCTTCCTTTCTGATCTCTGTTCTCCACTACCGGAGGCCTATGAAAGGAAGTACGCTCAGTTCTTTTTTTTCTTTTACTTGAATCCATCAAAGTAATCGACTGCTTCTGGACAGGCTGATCTTCCTGCTGACTGGTGATTGGGTCCTTCTGGTCCCTCCCTAGTGGCAGAGTGGAGCTGGTTCCTTCCTGATCTCTGTTCTCGGCTACAGGAGGCCAATCAAAGCAGGGCTGCTCAGTTTTTGACTTTCTTTTGCTTGACCCTATTTCATGAATACTAGCGTTCTCCATCAAAGTCATGGACTGCTTCTGGAAAGGCTGCTCTTCCTCCTGCCCGCTGCGTAGGTCCTCTACAGGTGGCAAATATCCTACTAGCCTATGTTCATAGCCAGATACTGATGAATATTGTTCATCCTTTACTTTGAGTAGTAGAGATGCTGGTTTCTCATCATCTTCATTCCATGAAGGTCCTGGTTTATCTTGTTCTTGATTTAGCAGCAAAGCTGGCTCCTTCAGATTCTCTTTAGCCCACATAGACTCTGGTTCCTCAGCTCCTTCGCTAATCATTGCAGGTTCTGGGGGCTCTTCTTCCCGTTTAATCCACGAAGGCCATGATTCGCTTTGTTCTTCATTTAGTAACAAACCTGGTATGTTTGGATCCTCTTTAGTCCATTTGGACTCAGGCTCTTCATCTTCTTCTTTAACTGGCACAGGTTCTGTCAGCTCTTCCTCCTCTTTAATCCATAGCGGTCCTTGTTCATTCTGTTCTTCAATAGGAGGGTGAAATGATTTCATCTGATTCTCTTCAGTCCAATAAGATTCTGATTCCTCCTGGTTCTGGATGGACCTCCTCTCCTGGTTACAGAGTTGTTGGGACGCCGAAGCTTCCTCAGAATGAGGGGCATGTGGCTTTGTGAGACCTGGGAGGAAAAAAAATATACTATAAAGCAATCCATGATGTTATTTCACAACAACCACTGTTTTGGGATTGTTCTCAGTCACCTGGGGCTTTTGGAAACAAACAGCTGGGGTTCAGTTCTGGTAGTTAAAAAGATCCTTTTATTTTAAAAAATGGCAATGCCCTATTGCTACTCCAATGTGCCTGCAGTGAAATGTTTATTTAAAATGCTGAGGTGCCTTTCCACTCAGATTTTTCCTTAGTTGTTTTTATAGTAATTAAATAGAAACCAATTTAGCTTACATTAATTTAATTTAATTACATTAATTAAATGACAGGTACCAGATCCTCATGTTAGGGTGGATGGATTTTCCCTCCACCAAAGACAGCCAAAGCATTAGGTGGAAAACTCTGCTTATTTTTGACTTTTGACTTTTAACAGCACTTTATTTACACAATTCAAACATATATACAATTGACGTAAAACAAGTGTCAGTTAAAATCACTATTATAGTAAAACAAGTGTCAGTTAAAAATCATTAAATGATGAGCTTGTTAAAATGCAGTTCTCCATCATCTGACACAGTACATAAAATGTTTTTAAAACCCCACAACTGAATAAAATCCTCAATGTTCTGTGTGGCTCTATGGAAGTGAAACTCAACTCCTTTTAACAATAACAGTTAAAAGGAGAACTTGATCTGAACATGGAACTTCTTAAGGTGAGTTACAGACAAAATTATCTTCACCTTGAGTTTTCCCATGTCATTATATGTGCGGTAAACATTCCTCTGTCAAACAATGGAAAGACTGCCACATAAACTTTCCTCGAGTCACACAAGACCAGCAGCTTTCCTTCCCTGATGCATTGTTTGTCATCCACAGAGATTTTAACCCCTGCCCAATCAATTTCACTGTATGATCAGTGTTCTGAATTGGCGCCATATAAATAGACTGAATTTAATTGAATATTCATGGATGTTGATGAATAAAGGTTTCTCTTAACAGGACCAATGTCTATTTGAAGGAAATGTATCTCTATTTAACCCTAACCCATCAACAATCCCTGGATAACTTTTGGCAGAGCTGGAACTTAACAGCCTGGTAGCTTAGTGTACCCCCCGCCCCTCTTCCAGCTAAGGACGGGCGACTCATGGCTCTCTGCTGAGGTCCGGTTCAGCCAGTGGCCCAGCAGTCGACACTTCATACCCCACATCCCTTGGGCCAGTGAACCAGTGGGCTGGTCTGTAAAGTGTTGACATCAACTCAGGGCTTTNCAGTGGCCCAGCAGTCGACACTTCATACCCCACATCCCTTGGGCCAGTGAACCAGTGGGCTGGTCTGTAAAGTGTTGACATCAACTCAGGGCTTTGTTTGGAATCGTCCGTTTTATGGTGGAAGTTCAGAATTATGAGATTTGTAGAGAAAAGAGGTGTTGATGGGGTTTGAACTTCTCTGTATGTCCATTTCACCCACTGAACTATCGTTATTAATCTATGACAATATAAACGCGGTTATGCATTCTATGAACCCTTTAAGACCAATTATTTCTAACATAATATTAATGTGCATAAGACATTAGTACGAACATGTTTTGTGTGCTTATCTGTTCTTTCAGTATAAAGCCCGGCGTACACTGTGCAAATTTTTTCAATCGTTGCACGCATCTGCTGCTCACACTGTACGACTAAACGCAGAGTTAAATCGTACAGTGTGAGCAGCAGCTCACGATTTATGTTTGGGCCGACGCTCAGATGCAATCTACCTGCTCACACTGTTAGAATAAAAACCACGTCAGACTCAGCTCCGCAGTGCGATGGAGCTGATCTGACGTGTCTATCCTGAAGCCAAACAAATAGAAGGGGGAATATTAAGCTCACTATACTGAACTGTGCTACCTTGGCAATTTTTTTGTTAAAGTAAAAAAAAAAAAAAAAAAAAAAAAAAAA